GCAATTGAAACCTGCTGAGCAGAGTCTCCAGATTTTTTTGTTGTTTTGGGTTTGTTTTGTTTTGTTTTTAATAGGATGCCCATAAGAGAGAAATGTTCCAGTGATGAGCAGGGGCTCAGCATGGTTTGATATGTGCTATTCATCAAGGGGAGTCAGAGCCAAATTTATCTTGTATACAACAAACCACCGCTGTCAGACCCAGATAAAATGTCTGAATTGAAGTTGATTGCTGAGAATAATTTTCTGAGAGAGAAAGTGATTTTGTTTCCTTGAACATACTTTGTGTCCTCATGCTTTCAAAGGCTAGCAGGCAAACTAAATTGTTTTGTACTGATGATGTCTACATTGTATAGTTTGTTCATCCTGGGTTGAGATCCTGATGCTGTTTTAAAGAGGTAATACTGGTGTCTCAAATTACAAAACATAAACATAAGAGTATTAAAGCACTGACTTGCGTGGCCAGACGTCAAGAAATAACCTAACTTCAAGAAATTACATCTGAAAATTTGTGCCTTTTACATCAGTGGTGTAATTTTATCCTTCTGTTAGTAGAATATAAGATACATCAGATAAATTTTAATGCCCATAACTTCAGATTTACAATGATAATAAACCCCTTTAAACTGGACAGAGAGGTAGTTTGTCACATTTACCAGTGCCTATAAACCATGACTCGTGCCTCATGAGGTGTTTATTGTATGTGCCAAACGAGGAGGGGATATTATGAAAAATACAATATGTAGTTATATAATTAATTATTTTAATAAAATGAGTTTGCAGAGAAGGAACTGATACTGCAACTGTAAAGGTGCTTCTATTGAGCTTTCGAGTGTATAATTTGTGCTTTTCTTTTTAAGCCTTTTTTGAAGTTTTCTAGTAGGGAGATGAGAATTAAAAAACCTAAAATTACTAAAAAAGAAAAACCCAACCCTGTCACACCTTTCAGTCATTATGCATTGTTGTTGTAGGGAGAAAGAGTTAGGAGAGGGAAGGAGATCTGAATTTTAATGAGCTAAAAGTTAGTAAAATTCTTTAACAATATGAAAAGAAAGGACCATTGGCATCCTGGTTATTGTTTTCTAAGAATGCTGAGGTAGTCATCTCTGTATTTTTCTTCTCTCTCTTCCCCTTCTCTGGAGAGGTGCTGTGCTCAGTCTGTCATGGTAGGGATTGCTGCTTTTGTAATAACATGGGTGCATCTCTTCAGATGTTTTGTGATTATTTTGGCCAGCTACTGACCTTAGATTCAGGAGAATAAATGACAGAAATGAAGGGATTATTTTCCAAAGTTGGGAATAGAAAGGAATATCTACCCCTCTAGCCAGCAAACAAGGGTGGTTTTTTTAACTTGCAGGTTCCAAAGCCACACTGGCAAAGCAACTACGACACTACATCTTCTTTTATGTGCTTTTTTATATTGGTGGGAGATCTTTAGGCCACCTAAATGTAGGATTACTGTCAATGTTCATATAATGAATTCAGCTTATTTTAAGCCTGGTCTCACATACTGAAAATAATATCAGAATCCAAACAAAATATGCGAATGTTATGTCAGTTTAAGAGGAGAGAGGAAAAAATGCCCAGGGACTGACTGGCAAATTATTTAGGAATAAGGCAGAAAGCTTTTTATTTTCAGTGTGGAAGATCTGTGAAGAATATGTTAAGAAATCTGACAAGTTGTCATTGAGAGGTCTCACTTTTTTGGAGGACACAGAATAGACCTTACACACGTGCAGTACTATTTCTTGAGTGTAGGTACTGGCACAGTGAGAATCAACTGCATGGAAAGAGACAACAGGATTCTTGCACATGTGGCAACAACTGATAGCAGTTTTCTACACCTGAATTTAGGGATGCACTGAAAGTACTGGTGCAAATGAGCTAAAAGATTTAGTAAATTAAGATTTAGATGCTACAGTAAGTTGGCTTAATGATATGATTACATGCAAACACTCCAGCTGTTTGTGCTGTAAGCTCTCTAAGAGGTTCAAATATATTAAAATTACCTATGTAGTTTAACTATGATGGTAACCTTTCTCTAAATCTAAAAGGCTATGACTAATTAAAATCATTATTTTATATAATTTTAAAAGATGCTATTAGGTATGTTTACAGATAATTAGTTCCTTAAACTTTATTTGGTTTATAAACTTGAGATGTCCAAGACCTTTTCCATTAAAGTATTTCATAAGAAATGAAATATTTGAAATGAAAACTGTGTAAAATTCTAGTTAGTTTAACTTATTTGGTGTTGTTCTTTGAAGGAGTCTTAACAGGAAAATGAGAAGCATTATCTTGAATCCTTATCCAAGACGTAGAAGTCAGAACTTCTGTCCTGACTCAGTAAGCGTTTGTAACCTAAAAATTTCATCTATTAATTGATCTGATTTTGAATGACCCCTTTCTAGCAAACTTACAAAATATGTACCTGGTCAGACTCTTCATTTTGCAACTTTTAATTCAGAATCCTGATCAAACCAGGCTCTCTTACACTTCACGTGTTTACTGGTATACTTCACATTCTGCTATAGAAAATTATCACCATTAATCAGGATGCAAAGCTATTTTTGACAGTGATGTATGATTTGCAAAGTAACATAAAATCACTCAAATTGTAAGCAGGAAGTTGTCATCTACCTCTGACAAACTCCTACTTATAATGCTCTGGATAATTGTAACTCTTAATGCTTGCTCTCATTTCTAAAGACATTATTAAGTACAGCTTAAATCATGACTATTTTGCATGCATTCTGGTAACCCTGGTTTTTGTTTTGTTGCTAATAGACTGGATAATGAGATAGGATTGGTAAATCCTGTTAAACCTAGCTAAATCTCCAAAATGAAGTCCATCTGCTAACTTAAAATATATTAATCAAGTTTTGTATTTGAACAAATTCTTTTAAGTATATTCTTTTGTCAGGCTACTTTGGTGCAAAATGTGGAAATTGTGACAACCATATAATACAATGTGTGTCCTGTTGCGGTGGTATGCATTCAGTTCTTCACGTTCTAGGTTACTGCAGGATCTTCTCAAAACAGTATATGTAGAAGTTACTTGCAAACTGTTGATGTATTAATAGAAGTATTTCTTAGAGTAGCTTGGCAGAAGGAGCATAAATGACTAAAAGTGTAAAATGTAAAAATGTAAGGATTACAATTCATTCTTACTTTGGTTCTGAAACACGAATAGAGTCTGTTACCTAAACCAGCCATCCCCAGGCTGTAGGGGGCCTGGAGGATAATGAAACCAGTTAGTCAAAACAAAGTGATGACTTGACTTCCTAGATTAATTAAGGACAATGACCTAATGAAGCAGTGCATTTGGCACATCTGTTTGGCCATCACTCCAAGAGGTGATGCTGATCTTTTGTGTGAAACCAGTCATATCTACTGTGTGGTCACAGTACAACAGAGCTCTTTACCCCTGGTGAGCAATAGATGGGCGTACTTTATCTATTTGCTTTATCTTTGTTCATCTTGTATCTGCTACCCAATTCCCTTTGTGCATAGCCAGTTGTCTTGTTCTGTATTTCTACAGTGGTTAGTACAATCAGGTGTTGCTCTGTGATGAGCTACAACATCGTTTTCAAATAAAGAACAAAAAGTAATCAACTGTGAGACTTAACAGAGCAACATTAGTTCTCTCTCCCCACACTCCCAGCCCTTTGCAAATCATATTTTGCGAGACAGAATCTGGGTTGTCTCATTCAAAGCAACATCCCAATTTCTTTCTGTTGCATTACAGAACTGTGGGCACCTGCGTCAAACAGTTGGAAAAGATTTATTGTTTCTGCAGCAGTGTATATTGATGCACAGTAGCTAGCAACACTGAAATATGTGAAATGATGTCATATTCCTTATTTTGGAATTGTGCAAAGGAGGTTTCAAACAGAATTTTAGTTTCTTGTATTTGCTTTAATAAGAAAGGTTCTTTCAAGAAAAACTCCAAGCTTCTAATTCTGGAAACAAAACCTTCAGTGTTTCAGCGGGGTGTGGATCTAAGGTCCCTTCCAATCAAACCATTCTATGATTCCATAAATTTGAACTGGATGGAACTACCATTTTTCTGTAATACCAACTAGATCTTGTGTTCTTGTTTTCTTGTTCAAGAAAACTGTTGCTATTCAATAATAAATATACTTTCCTGGAATGTGATGGGCTAGGTTTCTGTATGTATGATTACAATTCGTTAAGTACAAAAGAAGTTGGTTTTGGTGTTCTTTTCATTTCTTTTTAGTGTAAGCATGGTGTCCAGCACTTGAAAATCTGCTCAGCGAATACTTCTGTTTCTGAACAGTTCTCAAAGAAGTCTGCACTGCAGAGAAATCTTTACCTTTGACTCTCAGTTATGGGATAATATGAGTGAGGTGTGCAGAAAGAATTGCCAGACTATTGAAAATTCATTTTATCAAGGTTTATTATTTTCCCTGAAAATGAGAAGAAATACATTTAAAACTCCTACCTGAAAAAGCATATTGAGTTGGCAAAATGCTATCACATGGCTTACTTTCTAAAATTGGTGATTACTTGCAGTTTTAAATTATGACATTTAGCAAAAAGACCCCATGAATTTGATCATCAAGGCTGAGTGATGAGATCTTGACCCTATTAGTCGGTTGTTATAATGATTTACTGAAAATGATATTGAGCTTTGCAGTTGACACCAGGTAAGGATTAGAGTGCTTTTCCTTTTCTTTTTTACCTCGACATATCCAATCTAAGTTGCTTTCAGTTGCTAGAGTGTTTTGGAAGGTTTCTATGTGCAGTCTTGTTCCTGTGAAAACAGGTTTTAATGCAAAGTCATAGGTTTTTAGAATTCTGTAAGAGAAGATATTGTGCCATAATGTATCTGTCTTGTCTTCTTATCTGTATCTTTGCTGGTGACTTGGAGGTGTTATCCATGTATAAAATAAAACTAGTATGATCAAATATTTAAAAGGTCCCTTAATATTTCAGTAACTCTCAGTAATAAAACTGTATTATTTTTTTTCCCCTTGCAGAACAAAAGCCTCAAAAACAAGCTCTTGTCAGGAAACAAGCTTTGTGGTATTCATGCAGAAGAGGTAAGTAAGGTTCCTCTCTCTTCTAAATCTAATGTACCCAAAAGAAGCTTACATCAAAGTCTTTCATACTGAGATTCTGGTATAGATCATGTATTATGTGTGTATGGTGAGTGATCCTGAAGCTCTCTCATCTCAACTCATTTCTGTGACTTCACTAGAAGCAACTCAAATGTATTAGAAAGCGAACTGCAAACCCAAGTTTTAGACAAATGAAATAAAGTTTGGGCATGCTTATGAAAAGTATATAAAGCTCTGTAGATGTATATTATACATCTATAACATATAAAAAACTGATTTCCTTTCCATGATCTCCATGCCCAGACTAAGACAGGAATAGCTAAATACCTTTTTTGAAATTAACTTATAGAGACAGGAAAGATTTATTATTATTGATTCCTAGAATGTTTCATTACTTCAAGGAAAAAAGGGTCATTTTTTGAAACAGAGGGAAAGAAATCTCCCCTCTACTGAAGAGCAAGCTAGCAAAGACTGTCGATGATACAAAAACCCTATTTTTTTTAAATACATAAATGTACAAGTAGCTGCATTCTCACAAGCAGTCCCTTTAGCTATTTAACTCTTCATTAAAGAGGATATTACTATATGAATCTGATTTACTAATTTACATGACTTCAGTCATGTTTTTTGCATATATAATTTCTGTGTAAGTTATTGCACCTCACCAGAATGAAACAGAAGTGTAACACTTTTCTTCTTGACTAAAATTTTCATAATTATGGTTGAATGTGTTTTCTTCATTAAAAACTCTGCCTTTTAACTGAGAGGTCAAAAACTCATGAGGTCAAGGTAGTGATTTCTAGTTATATTGGCTGTTTAGCCTAACTGAAGATCTGCAACCACTGTTTCTGAGAAATCCTCAATGGTAGGAAATAATAGGTGTTTAGGGTATTTTTTTTTTCTAGCTTGTCAAAATCTATGTTATCTTCCTATATCAACATTGTTGCTTTCAAACATGCCACAGTATATGAGTACAAATATATTTTCTTTCCCTGTTTACCACTTAAAAAATTGGCAGTGTGTGCAACATAGCTTTCTGTTTTCTCTTCTTTTGCAAGTTTGTTTTTCCTAGCTGCATAACATTTTGAATGTTTGGTAATTAACTTGAAGATCTTTTCCCTGATTATGTCTCCTTTAATATTTGCAACATAAATACCTTTAAATCTAAGGGTGAAGCCTAAGGTTAAATTAAATTTATTGTAATGTGACAGGCCTGGCTGTCAGACAATTTCAGAAAACTAAACCAAAGCTAACTAACACTCAAGGCAGCAGAGTGAGTGGATTTTAAACCTTAAGAATATTAGACTTTATGAATCATCTCAGCCAATTTGTGGCTTTTAAGCTGGTTAGTGCCATTAGAACAAGCAAAGATGCTACAGGAGCATCCTTTTTTTGTTGTTTTGCCAGTTAGGTGGTGTCAGCCAGAGAAATGCAGTGTAGTTTCTGCTCTTTAATTAAGTACTATACCCACCAAGCATAGCAACTGTGTGAAATCAGTATCCCTTTAGTTATTAGGTCAAATACCCTTTGTGGATAGAATTGCCTACCAGGAAGCTCCTGCTTCATTCTGCTCTATCAGGCTGCGTGCAAACAGTTTTAATGAACCCTGTGATTCCTTGTTGTCCAGTTGCATAGACAGGAGCGTGCTTGTGATCCTTCACAGTCTACATGGCTGGGTTTTCTTCGCTGCGAATTCAGAGCCCTGGAGAGAGGAAGGCAGAGTTGTGCAAACCTCAGGCTTCCCAGGACACGGAAAGGGACATGTGCCAGGGAACTATTCCCAGATGCTATGGTTTAGAGATCGCTATCCACCTGTGTCTAGTGATGCTCTTATCTGACTGACTGCACTGAGAGGTGTCAGTTTTGTAAGTCCTCTCCACAGAAGTGCAGAAAAACCACAAACCAACCAAATTTTATCACCAAGAATTACAGGTCATATACGTGCTTTTGAGTCACTTATGTTACTTACTGAATACATTTAGCTCTTTAGCTCTTAATTTCATCACAGGTTTGTGATTTAGCAAATGGATGATACCTTAATTATAACCCTTAGATTCCTGTATAGCCATTTTGGATACCTTGTATGTCACAGAGACCTTATATTTTCTCAAGTACAACTCCTAGAATAATTAAAGCTGGTTAAGGTTTTCTCATTGGTCTTTAGTTGATGTGGAATATATTCCATAGCTCTACCGATGCCATTGTCCAGATCAGAGGACAGTGCTATTGGCACTTTTTACTGTGTAAAGAAATAACAGCAGAATTAAACTGAATTTATCTTGGCTATTTGTTTCAGATTTTACAGACTACAATAACCAATTTGGCTTTACCATTTAAATATTTAAAGCAGGTTCTAAAATTTTATCTTTAGATTCATTCATCCTTCCCAAAAGCCCGTCACTGAATTTGCATCAATTGGAAAGACATCAGGTCTTTCTAAAAGCTCCAATTTATGAAAGATATACTACCATCTGTAATATGTTTATGGATGTTTCAGTAAGTGTGTAATAGACTTCTAATCCATTACAAGGAGTTCTAAACATTTGGTATTAACTGATGCAAGAAAACTTATTGAATGTCAGTTAAGACTGTGGATTTTACTAAAAAAAAATTATTGTTTTGACAGGACTCTTAGATAAAGGGTGAAATATAATGCTTCTTGGATAGCTGAGTGCAGGATAAAAAAAACATTTCAATTATATTTTGTTTAAATAAAAGAATGTATAGACTGTTGCTTAAAATTATTTTAAGGATAAATAATTTAACAGTATTTAAAATAAATATCATCCTAAGCTGATATAAATCCGCATAACTATGCCTATTTTAGAAGATACGGTCACAAACTGTGAACCTAGTTCGTTTGGATACCACCTGGAACTCCCTGGTCATTACAGAGAACCCACCTGTGCAATGCTATGAAACCTTTTCCCCCTCTAATAAAAAAGCAGATTATTTACTTTGAAGGTGATGCCTTCAGTTGTGCTTCATGGAAAGTATTAATAATATGTCATGTCTAAAATGTGTAAGCCAAATGGCTATTCACATTTGTACAAACTCATGTGTGTGCTTTAGGTGTGTGCCATTTTACATTTCCTTGATACTTTTGCCTGGTTTAGACATGTTATCCTGGAAAAGCAATTTACACTGATTTTGGTTATTTTTCTGCATTTTAAAGCTGATCTAGTTTCTGCTGTTGTCAGAACTTGCTACCTTTTTTCTGTTCTTAGAAGTAAATATTTAAAATAAACCCCCCTGATTTTATTATCCTCACTTTCAGTCAAAAAAGATCCAAGCACAGCTGAAAGAGCTTCGTTATGGAAAAAAGGATTTGATTTTTAAGGTAAGTTTCATTCGACTTAGCTGAAGTATTAGAGTTAATATAGTATTGAAGTAATATAGGGGTATGATAGCTGCCTTTATTACTGTAGTTCTAAGGAATCATTTCCTTCTCACCATACCGAAAGAACTCAAAGCACCAAAGACAGACATAATACCATACTGAAATTTCAGAAATGCCGTCTATTTTGGTTGGTGTTTGGATTTGTTTTTTGATATTTTTTTTTCTGTTTTGTTTGGACAGTACGTTTTATTAAATTCCTTTCTGAGGCAAGGAAGAGAAGATTTAAACCCTAAAAAATTATCTTGTGTTTTTGTTTTTAAATAGACGAAAGCAGTAGGAGGTATTTAGTTTATGAATATCTGTATTTACACGACCACGTAAAGCAATGTTCTAGTTTCCAGCTGGTGATCAAAACCTATTGCCCCATTCCATAGATTCTGTAACACACTTTTCATCTTTCTAATAAGAACCATCTGTAAAATATTCTATTATTTTTCCTTTGATTAGCAGTTCTCCATAGCAACGTCAATTATTGTTAACACTTAAAACAAATCTTTGTCTTTGTGATAAGCTTGAGCAATGCAATATTCCTTAGGTTCGTGGATCCAAATTGCTGCTGTAGGCTGAAATATGTTTATCAAAACTTGAAGCTTCTACAGAAAAAATGAAATGTGTGTGACTTATACAATCCAAATGAATAGCCTGTCTAACTAGCACATTTGGGGAAAAAAAAGGGGGGAGGGGGGCAGAGGGAGTACAAAACATACAGACATTTTGCTGAAAGGCATCAAGTCCTTGCTAACACAGAGAGAAGTTAATCCCTGTTAAAGAAGGAGGAGAGAGATTCAGGTCACCTGACTGGAGGCTACTAATTGAGTAGTGCTTTTATTCCTGGCATAAAGGATGAAGATAAGTAGTCATCTTCAAAGTGACTAGAGCTAGAATTACTTACAAAGTAATTCTTCTCAATATGAGGTCCAAATTGCCTTCTGGAAGTATTTAACTCTGTCTGCTGTCTCTCTATTGTATGCATAGCACTGTAAAGATGGAATAACATAGGAAATTTAAAATACACAGTGTGATTAGTGTGATTTTTTTCCTTTTCTTTTCTTTTTTTTCATACACAAGTTGATTCCAAATTTTTTCAGGAATATTTATTTCTGGTCATCGTAAGACCCAAACCAGGGGAATAGACTTAGAGATTAAAATGAGGCATGTTATACATCTAGGCAGTTAAATTTCAATACCAGCCAGCATTGACAAAAATAACACATTTTTCTTCAAATTCAGTTTAGGTATAATTGAGAGTTTGAACAGAGGAAAACATTGTAACTTCTAATCTTGCCTGGATGTGAAAGCTTTTTTTTACTTCTACTGAAGCAGAAAGGTTGTTCAGTACTACTATCTACTTGTTGTTTTCCATTGTTTTCATTATGCTAATATGCAGTGATCCCAAAACCAGATCTGAATTATGCTAGGTTGTGTAGTGATGCTCAGCAAGTGCTGCCCACCCGAAAACAGCTTACAGAAGAAGAGAAGGAAAACGTGAGTGTGAAGACATGAAAAAATGGGAAAGGCTGTCTGGCAAGTCACTGGCATAGATAAAATGAAATCCAGCTTCTCCTGATCCTAGTTCAATAAACTATGACTAGTGGTCAAGGTATAGATGGTGAATATCGGGGTTTGTGGTGGAGGGGAGGGAGTTACTTATGTTATAACAGAGACAATGCGACTAGTGTGAATGCGAGTAGCAGTGGGTCTCATCTGACTGGATATGGGTGTCTGCGCCATAGGCTCCACTTCTCATCCTTGGAGAGTTATTCAGTACTGCTGCGGGAGTCTGGGAAATATATCTTCTCCTAAAGACTATGTCTATATTTGACCACATGAATTATGCCTCAAACTCCTTGACCTACATTGAACAGACATAATTCTTGATTATGAAGTAGTACTAGGGCTACTAGCTCAGATGTATGTCCCAAGTTATGTAGGGTGAGTTCTGCTCTGAATGTACTTACTTGCAAAATAGGGAAGATGTTACTTGCCTATTAGGGAAATTATGAACTAGTGTAATTTAAAATGCTTTAAGAACTTTAGATGGACGATGTTAATGAATTGTGAAATGGATTCCCAAGTCCCGCATACTGAGAACTGCATGTGCAAATACCCGAAACAGCTCTTGACCGTGTGCAGTTCTGTATGAGACTGACTGCCTGATCTGCTAATTTGATATACCCTTTATTTGTAGCCAGAAATATTTTTATCAGATTTATTTGTGGATCTTTTTCCCAACTAAGGAAAATTGATTTGTGAAGAAAAGGGAACAACAAGACTATGCTATAGTCCGACATAATCATGTGAGATGTGGGGAAGGGCAGATTCAGCATGCTGTTTTGTGCGTGTTTCAGGTCTGAAGACAGACACGCTGAGGAGAGTAGAAGCCATTTGGTATAGAATCATAGAATGCTTTGGGTTGGAAGGGACATTTAAGGGTCATCGTGGTCCAACCCCCCTGCAATGAGCAGGGACATCTTCAACTAGACCAGGTTGCTCAGAGCCCCAACCAGCCTGTCCTTGAATGTTTCCAGGGAAGAGGGATCTACCACCTGTCTGGGCAACCTGTGCCAGTGTTTCGCCACCCTCATTGTCAAAACTTCTTCCTTATATCTAGCCTGAATCTACCTTCCTTTAGTTTAAAACCATTACCCCTTGTACTGTTGCAACAGGCCTTGCTAAAAAGTTTGTCTCCGTCTTTCTTGTAAGCCCCCTTTAAGTACTGGAAGGCTGCTATAAGGAAGCTATCCCTGGAGCCTACTCTTCTACAGGATGAACAACCCCAACTTTCTCAACCTTTCTTCATAGGAGAGGTGTTCCATCCCTCTGATCATCTTCATGAACAGGGTATAGAGTGGAAAGCTTTTTAAGTACCTGTCTGATTAGAGAGAGGCTGCTATGTTTGGGCAAAACCAGCTGGTATTTAATTCCTAGTTGCTTTGATACTAGAAACTAAACAGATTTCATGCTATCATTGCTGTTGAGCCTGTTTTGTGAAGCTCTGATTCTTTCTGATAAAAGACCAAAATGGTGGATGCGTAGTCTTCTGGCAGCACAGATCATGAATGGTGTGTGTGATAATCTCCTGACTGCTAGTTACTGTCATGTTACAGGGCTTCTACCCTTTCCCCCTTCCACCGTGTTCCCACCCCATTAAACCTTACGTTTTCTGTGTGCCTGACTGAGGACTTCAGGGAATTCTGTTCTCTGCATAGCTCTGAACGTTGCAAGCTTCTCATAGCAGTTTACCAGAAGGATGTAAACTTCAGGCTATTAGATTTCTAAAGGGCATAAGGGAATGCTTCAGTCTGTGGCCATCTGTGGTGGAATTAGTTGTGCAGAAGGCAGGAATTGTTTGGTTTTTGCTTTGCGTAATCAACATCAAGAAACTAGTTCTTAAATTCTCGTAACTATAATTTGCAATGACTCGGTACTGACTAAAGCCATAAGGGATTGCTTCAGTCTGTGGCCATTAAGCTATTGCTTTCTGTGGTGGAATTAGTTGTGCAGAAGGGAGGAATTGTTTGGTTTTTGCTTTGCGTAATCAACATCAAGAAACTAGTTCTTAAATTCTCGTAACTATAATTTGCAATGACTCGGTACTGACTAAAGCTCTAGGGTTTAAGAGGAAGAGGGGGAAAAAAAACCCAGCTTTCTTCTTTAACACTCCAGTGAATTGGCAAATTATATCTACTTTTAACATTGCGTGACAATAACTTAATAAGTGGTGGTAAATATAACATGAGTTCCTTATTTCTGACATGTATTTACTCTTGTGTTATCAAAGTGTTTTGTAATCTAGCTGATTAATGATGTAGCATATGTGTACGTATATTTATATTTTTCTCTCTCTATTGATGTAATACAATGCCATATGACAGATAAGCAGCGAGAGTCACAGAAATTCAGTGATATGCTCAAGGCTATAGAGGTTGTTAGTGTCTTTACTGAGATTAGAATTTGAGCTCCTGTCTCTCTGTCAGAGTTCAGTCCCTTAAACCATGCAGCGTAGTATCCTTGAAGAGTTGGCAAAAGTTGACATTTGGTTTGTATTATAATGAAAAAATAAAGAATGATTAATAAAAATTTTCACAAAAGCTTCTTAATTTTATAACTGCCTTTGTAAGTAGGTGCTTACTAGTTCTGAATGAGTGCACTCTTAATTGCAATCTGTATTCACATCATTTGGCTATACTGTCCTAGAAGAAGTCACATGTTCTACTAAATTAGAAAAGAATTAAAAATAATTTGGTTTTTTGTTCATGAAATAAGGACATGTGTCTGTACGATAGGAATATGAGATGAAGAAAAATGTCTAGCAATAACTGTCACTATCAGTTTATACAAGTAGCTTGTATTTTTGAAATTGTTCTTTTCAATGTACAAAGTGAGAATGGTTCACTGTTATCGCTTGAGTATATCTTTGTTTCCTTTTTTTGTAATGAATTTCTAAGGATTCTGCTTCAGATTTTCAGAAGTATGAATTTCATCTGCTGCTTAATCTGCTTTCCCTTTTGTCATTTAAATTCTGAGAGAAAATATATTGATGGACAGTCCTAAAGAAAACAAAAAAAAAGTTCAAATGTGAGTAACTACACCTAGCCTACCATTGTACTTAATCTGTGTTCCATAGTAGAATTTAGATTGAAATAAGCAAGTAAACAACATCTGCCTTACAACAAATTAGGTAATTGTTGATAAGCATTCCGTACATGATCTTACTATGAGTAAGACCTCCCACTGAAGAGCAAACCACATTTGGTCCGGTTAGGTACACAGATGTGGCCGGTGCCTGAAGCGTAGCTGTCCAGGGGAGTTTTTACACTGACTAACCACTTGCCTGTGGCCCTGGGGGGTCCTTAGACCTCTCCACATGTTTAGAGCCACCGGGTGCCCAGGTAATAGCACCAAACTGGAGGATGTCTAGGAAGACCGATGCAGGGCTG